AATGGCCATATCCCCTTTCAGTGTCACTGCAGGACATTACAATGAGAAAAGCTTTCCGGAGTTCCACGATTCAAGACCAGCAGCTGTTTGATCGCAAAACTCTGCCAATTCCTTTGCAAGAAACTTACGACATTTGTGAGCAGCCTCCTCCACTTAACATTCTCACCCCTTACAGGTTAGTAAAATAAAATTAATTTTAACAATTCCTATCTTATTTTATGTAATAGAGAGGATGCATCGAGGCACCTTGCTCATGTTGAGTAGCACCTGAATATTTAAGGTGCCAGACTAGAAATCTGTGAAGCTGCTGGAGGAATAAAAGCAGCAGAAGACATTAAAACTTTATTCTGTTTTACTCAAATTTTACCTCAGTGTAAGATGGTAAGAAAAAGTAATTTTTGTTTTCTGTGTTTATTAAACGATGTAATGTACTTGGATGCAAAAAATTAAACAGGTAAGTGTGTAGAAGAAAGAGTCTTCAATGGAAATGAATGTTGTTTGCTGTCCCAGAGTCAGTTTGAATCAGTAACTGAACACAAGCAGTCCCACAAATTTGCTCAATATTGTAATAGCAAGATTTGAGTTATTGGAGAGGGAGTGTTCTGATCTATGACACTGTTGGTTTTTTTTTTCTGGAGCTTGTGTTAAAGTTAACTTTCTAAAATTAGGACCTTGACTGCCAGGAATGATAGTAAAAAGTGATGGTGCAGGAGGTCAATGATCATCTCTTCTTTGTTCCTCAATAAAATATTTCAAGGTCTGAGATACAATGTATTCCTTGATATACCCTTCCTTTGTCTTAATGTTTGGATTCATGTCTTGTCAAATAAATAGTATGCCCTATTTGTGTCACTGTATTTCAGGGATGATGGAAAAGAAGGTTTGAAGTTCTATACCAATCCTTCATACTTCTTTGATCTGTGGAAGGAAAAAATGTTGCAGGACACGGAGGACAAAAGGAAAGAAAAGAGGAAGCAGAAGGTACATATACTWTATACAGCTTCTCTTTGTTTTCTACCTAGAAAGGGTTTGCTTGCARATGTGCTACTTTAATAGCACTCCAAACTTGACAGAGTTCAACTTTATTCAACTTAAACTACTTGTATTCATTCAGTTCCATCAAYTTTAACARTTKAATAATAATAATARTAGTAGTAATATAATATAGAAGGAYSTAAAGYTTTCATGCTRTCTTAATGTAACCAACATCAGATTTGCCAAAACTTTTAAGTATTCTAACAATGACTCAGAAAGGAGGAATACAGCAGGAATAAAACATTTCATTTGAACACTTATTTGTAAAACAAAATTTTGACAATCTTACAGGTGAGAAAGTATGAATGACATTCTACTGGATATGTTACTCTAAACTRGAAAGAAATTAGTAAGAATAGAACTCTTTGCTTATATCTTCTTAAAATTGAACAAGTGCTTTCTTGTTTCACCATTATTCTGTATATCTCATGCATAGTAGAGAGAGTAAATGTGTCAGATTCATAATTTGATTTCAGACTTAGAATAAAAAGCTGCTTATACRGTTGTTTTTCTCTGTATTATTCAGCTACTTATCCACTAGACTGAAGTTTCTGGCTCTTAAAAATCTGTTTGGTTAATGTATTATGTTTAGCCTGAAAGTGAATTTTTCTTGCATTTTAAATGGGATTGTGTTTCATGAATTTGTGGCTGATGTCTATATGCAACTAATTAAAAAACACTGTCTCAGTTGTCAATTTTGTTTACACAACTCTCCTACAGCAGAAAAATCTAGATCGCCCTCATGAACCAGAGAAAGTGCCAAGGGCACCTCATGACAGACGGCGAGAGTGGCAGAAGTTAGCCCAAGGCCCAGAGCTCGCAGAAGATGATGCTAACCTTTTACATAAGCACATTGAAGTTGCTAATGGCCCAGCTTCACATTTTGAATCAAGGTTCCTTTTGCTTTTTTTCTCTCCTTTATTAAGTGTATTTATACTACGTAGTGAACTTGCATGAGCAATGGTAAATGACAGGATGCTGCTGCTCCCCTTGAAATGCACTGGGAATCATTGATTCAGCTTAACCAAAACTCAATTTTCAAATACTCATGTCCTTAAAGGAGTAGTTGTTGTGTTGTTATTTTCAAGAGTAGCATGTATCCTCTTCGTGTCCTTGAGGATTTTGTTGTTCTCTGCAGCTTGATGAAGGTGTGGTGTCGTTGCTGCAAGCTGGCACACAGGTGTGTCACTGCATTCCAATCCTGACCTACAAAATCCCTGTTATTCCAGCCTGTTGATTTTTCTTAAGCAGGCACTGCCAAGACTCTATGGTGTGTGTGATGTGAACAAACGTCCACTTGGAACTCAAATGAGATGCTGAGCTTCTCTTTACTCTTGAACAAATCCATTATTTGATTGACATTTCTGGTTATAGCCTATTACAAAATCCAGCCTGTTGAATTCTCATTTCGCAGCACGTATTTGCTGGTGGCTAAAAGTAGCATTTCACATGGTAAACACCTGCTGTGCTTATGCTTCTGGTCTTTCTGCAAAATCAAGTCCATTTTACCAGCCAAGAAACATCTGATAGCAAAGAGGGCTGACAAGTAATTTTAGGACATTTGGGGATATATGTTTGGTTTGGGGGTTTCGGGTGTTTTCTTTCATTGGGTTTTTTTAATTAAAAAGTATTCATTGTCCTTCCAAAAAAAGGTTAGTTTTTCCCACATCTTTCTGTGGTCAAAAGCACACCATTAGAGAGTATTTTTGTAGCTTTGTAAAGGCTTCAGAAAAGCTCAGTAGTGATGGTGAGTAATTATGACAACTCTASGAGAGAGTGTTTACTGCCTGAAAAATAGAAAAACCTGCTTGTAGAAAACAGCTCAATTCAGAATATGAAAGTGCTCTCAGTGCATTTCACTCAGTGGGGCATAACTTAAGTTATGGTGATTAGCATTTTTCTGGGAACAGTTTTATAAGATCTCTGTTAACTGCTGTGTCGAGTCATTGACAGAAACATCTTCTTTCCTGCTATCCTTTTGTTGTGTTGTTTGTTGGCTCCCACTTCATACATGTTTGTTGTTAAGTATCCTTTTCTATCCAGGACCCTGGCCTAAACCTTGATTATCTCAGTACCAGTAATACAATTATTAATAATGCTGAAGTGCTTGGGAGCACTGCATGTGCAGAGCGTGTTGTTCAGATACAGAACTGCACCATGCTTTGGAAAAAATGAGGAAGATCTTCACCCCTGAAGAATTTATTAGGCTTYRATGCTACAGTRGTGGCAGTGTGTGGAAATGAAGAGYRCTGCTTTACTTGTTGGAAAGTGTTCTATGAACACTTTTGCTCTGAATTTAATAGAGATTTTTTAGAATAAAAATCTGTAATTGGGYAGTAAATTAAAGTTTGCTTACTGATGAGGTCCTTGAGGTGTGTCAAAAGTTGTCATTARCAAGTTGAATCATCTTTATTTACTGCTGCTCTCAATAATAGATATTCATTGAGTCCTGTGTCTATTAAAGTAGTGAATTCTCTGTGTATATTGGAATAAAGATCCTCTGACAGAAGTTCAGCTGAATTATTCAGTTGTAAAGTCTACCATTCTAACATCGATGGATGTTTCATGAATGTTATAAAAGAAGAGTGGTTCTGATTGTATTGCTGTATTTACTTAAAATAATGTGACTAATAATCACTAAGGTCACAGACATGCTGTAGGAACTATCTGATATACCTCTCAAAATCAAACCCTTGAGCTGCTAGAAGTARTAACAGGGAAAGTGGGATAAATTATTGAAAACCATATTGTATAATATGCAACACCAGTGAAGATACTTGTATTCAGAAGTCAGACTGAAGTTGAGAACCACAGCTGAGGGCACTAATGCTTACTCCAACTAAAGGTTGAGTTGGATCATTTCTCCCTGTTCTCCTACAGATCTCAAGCATACGTGGACCACATCGATGGCTCGTACTCCCTGTCTGCGTTGCCCTACAGCCAGATGTCGGAGCTGCTGAACCGAGCCGAGGAGCGCGTGCTGGTCCGGCCCCATGAGCCACCACCGCCACCACCGATGCACGGAGCTGCTGAAGTGAAACCTGTGCCTCCCTGTGTCAGGTATGAGCCACAAAAGCCACGTGTGGATCTGTTTGGGCTGTTTAAAGTTTCCACCACCCCACTAATAGCTGTTGGTGTTATTTCCATGCTGTGGAAATAGGGGCTGTGGCAACCCCCAGTCCAGCGTTCCACCAGGAGCCAACATCTAAATCCCATGTGGGCTGCCATTGTGGAGCCAGACCTCACCTTGCCATTAATACTGCAACATGTTGCCTCTTGAGTTAAATGGCAAGACAAATAACTCTGTGGAAAATGTTTCTGTGAAGTATGTTGGCATTTCAGGATGTAGCTTTGGAGTTTTGGAAATATGTACAACTGAGCTGTGTTTCAGCCTACATGAAAAGAAGAATATATCACAGTAAGACAGCTGTCAAAACTATGTGTTCATCGCATTTTCTAAATTGCAAGTTCTTCTCTCTCCCTAAGTGTTTTTATTTTCTGWTTCTTCGTACCTTTTCAGCAGTGGATACATAGAATAGTTTTCTAGAGGCGAAGATTTCGTTGTCACTTCCCTATTTTTTTTTAATACCAAAAGTCTTACTTTATGGTCAGGTACATACAACTTAGAGGACAGTTAATTTGGATCAGATTGTCACATCAGCAAGATGTTAGCTTCTTGAAAAGAATTATTTAGGAGATCATACACAAAAATGCCTGATTCTTCAGATTAACTTTCCACAGCAGTTTAAAGAAATCCTCTAGAGGTCTTTCAGGAAAGTAAGTTTACTGTTCTCTCTTGTTTTCTTCAGTTCACCTATTCATTGCCCTATAATGAGTATCTAGCCTATAACTACACCTCTCTGTGCATAGTATTGATGACCTCTGACATTAGTCTCATTTATTTTGTCATCACACCTTAAACATGTATTTCAAATTAACTTGTCCTCATTGTTTGCATTGTTTTAAAGTTCTGTAAATCGAAGCAGTTAGTCAACTGCTAGTTCCCTTACTTCAGAAAAATAATTTGGATTTTCTTAGGGACAACAGGGAAGAATTGTGCTAGTATAGGAAACCTTTGCTAAAGATGCTGGTATATTCTGTAAGAACATAAATTTGGTTAATAGCTGATTTTGAGCAGAGGTCTGTTAGAAACCTGATGCATACTCCATACTGAAAATCAGATTTCCTTGTTTATGAAGTATGAACAAACACCCTGAAATCATTATAGTACATAATGCTCTTTAATGCCCACATTTCGATGTTTTTAAGTTGCAGAAGTGAATTATTACTGTATTTTCCACTCTCTAGCTCTAATAACTTTGTTCTGCTATTGGATATTGCAGTTCTACTCCTGGCTTGGTAGAAAATCGTCCTCAGTCACCAGCAACAGGCAGAACACCGGTGTTTGTGAGCCCCACTCCTCCTCCTCCACCACCGCCACCTCTTCCATCTGCCTTGTCGACTTCATCATTAAGAGCTGCAATGACTTCCACCCCTCCACCCCCAGTGCCACCCCCTCCACCCCCTCCCACAGCTGCTCTGCAGGCCCCAGCTGTGCCACCTCCACCAGCTCCTCTCCAGATAGCTCCKGGAGTTCTTCATCCAGCTCCGCCTCCAGTTGCTCCTCCCCTAGCACARCCCTCTCCCCCTGTCACTAGAGCGGCCCAAGTGTGCGAAGCTGTWCCTGTTCACCCGGCTCCCCCACAASCTGAAGTTCAGGGACTTCCTCCGCCACCCCCACCTCCTCCCCTGCCCCCTCCTGGCATTCGACCCTCCTCCCCTGTCACAGTTGCAAACCTTTCTCACCCTGCTCCCGTTCTGCACCCTGCTCCCACAACCATTGTCCCCGGCCCTCATGCACCCATAATGCCTCCATCTCCACCATCCCAAGTGATTCCTGCTCCTGAGCCCAAACGCCACCCTTCAACTCTTCCTGTGATCAGCGATGCTAGAAGTGTTCTGCTGGAAGCAATACGGAAAGGTAATGTTGGCTATTAAGCAGCAAAAAGAGCAATCTCAGAAACTTGCTAAATACACATAACCTTTGAGAGATGGAATATTTCACATGTGTAAGAAGTTAGAGAAATGCATCTTAAGTGTTTTTCTGTTTTCTATCTTTTACAGTGTATGCATTGCCAAGTAGACAGGTTTTTTTTCAGTTTGTAATTGCACTTATCAGATGTTTAGTTTGGATGGCAAAACTGKTTCTCTGTGGAAGTTAGATTACAGAAAAAAGTACAAGTGTTTTTAGATGATCTGTGGAGATTATCTTTCCATTTATGTTTACCTGCAAATACAGCTTTTTTTTTGATAATCTACAGATTGTGTAGAAGACAAAAACATTGGTTTTCACAGACTATTAGATAAAAGCAAAATGGATCAATTAGAATTGGAATTTTGATCATCTGTCACTGTATTAAAGAAAGATACAAGTAACATTCAGAAATCATTTCTGAAGACTTCARACTGTTAAGTATCTGATCTGGACACGTCTCAGCACAGTAGCAGAGCAGCCTTTGCACTGCAAGATGCCCGTGGCAGAGTGCAAGGGAAGGGTAGAGCTGCAGGGCTGTGTTTTCCTGATGATCTGAGGAGCTGTGTGTGAAAGCTGTACCTTCCAGCTTTTCCTGTGGCCAGGAAAATCCCCATTGCCCTGTGCGTGCTGCTGTTTGATGGTGGGGTATCTTGCAGTAGTTCAGCTCTCTCAAATGTTTCAAGTCCTACATTCTTCTACTCTTCACCTGCACCTGCAGCACTGCACAGAATCTCTACAGTACTGGAATATCAGCAGATACACTACAGCACTAATTCAAAATATTTTTACAGCATCTGTATACACATGAATTAATAACATCATTGAATCTAAAGAAATGTTGACAACAGTTGTGTACAACAGGGGTGTGTGAATATGAGTAGAGAATGTCAGCAAAAATAAGAAAGCAGAGCCTGCTGATATAATCCAGGTGATTACTGAAAACACTTTTGACCCAGTCATGCCCAAGAAACAAAGGTTTGAGTTACCACAATTTAAATTACACCCAAGGTCCTGTGCTTGGGTTGCCCGTCAGTTGATAACAGAGAATATTTAAAGTACAGGATGTAGGTCATATTTAGTCTGTGTCATTCTGGGACGTTGTGAGTATAAAACAAAAATAAATAATCTCATGGTTKTTTTACTAAGTTACTGGATTTAACTTTCTCATACATTTGGTATGTGTTATTTCTCCTTTGTGTTTGATCTCCTAGTAATACTTTATCCCAAACCAGATCATTACTTGATTAAAAGCAGGCTTACAAGAGGTCCTCTCTTGTTAGGATACTCAAATAGCTATAAACTTTCATTAAAATCATGRATAAGAGAGTGTAGAAAATGTCTGGAAGTGCAAATAACAAAATGGCTTGGCCACTTACAGTGGTACTAAAAATGTATTTTTAATTGGAAATCAGAACCAGGATATTATAGCAGAAGGACTCATGATCTAGTCTGCCACTGCAATTCTGACATTCTTGTCTTTAAAAACTTGACCCAAAAAATTCTGCCTGAGCAGGACAGAGTCCTCTGTCTTCACATTTGCTGGCGAAGCATTTTTTGTGCGTCATGAGCTAAATACAGTGAGAGTGGTGAAGGAGGAGAGTGACGTGTTTGTGCTCTGGTGTTCTCCAGGTATTCAGCTGCGCAAAGTGGAAGAGCAGCGGGAGCAAGAAGCGAAACACGAGCGCATTGAGAATGATGTTGCCACTATCCTGTCCCGCCGCATCGCTGTGGAATACAGCGACTCAGAAGATGATTCCGAATTTGATGAAGTAGATTGGCTAGAGTGAAATTATTACATTGCTGTACACTGCAAAATCGAATGCTAATGTCCATTGTGGTGCTTGTTCTTTGAAAGTTTGATGGTCATTTCTAGTGTTTTTTGTATTCTTTTCTTAACATAATTAATCCATGTTTTTCTACTTTTCAGTTTACAAAAAGCTCCTAGTGCATCTTCAAAACTAAATGTTTTACAGTGGCTTTTCTTACACATCTCTTTTGAAAGAACATACTTTGTTCCAATAGACCACTAAGTATTAAGCATGGGCAGCTGTTGGTAGAGTAGCAGTTTCAATTTTTTGGCATATCTTAACTGTGCACTTTGTGAATTTTAAGTTGATGAAGGCAACTGAGATTGACATTCCAAGGGCAGCTGTATGTACTAATGAGCCTTATTCCACTTCTGATAGTGTTTTAAAGCATTAAACCTAGCTATCAAAATATCACTGCCTCGATCACACCTGTACACTGAAAGTACATATAGTTAGCAGCACTGAACACACTGAAAAGCAAATGGATCTTTGGGGGGGTTTATTATTGTTTTATTGTTGTTTTTAAATAATTATGGCCTTATTTGAATGTTTAGAGATTCCCCTTCCCTTCTTCCCTCCCAGGTACATATTGTGTGGTACTATTTTTGCCTGCATAATAAAAGTTTAAAGTTTTTTTTTTTTTTTCCTGGTGAAATCTTTTGACTTAAACATGCTGTGTAACTTATGTAACTGTTAAAATAACAGTTTGATTTAATAAATGGTTCATTTTAAATGTTCCTGGGTGTTGCTTTTTCTATGAAGCTTGTTTTTCACAAGTATGCTTGAGAGATCCTTGGATTTCAAGTATTTAATCTGCGGTGTACAAAGTTACAGTATATATTCTGTACTTTATCTAACAAGAAACTATCATTAAATGATATCTACATGCACATCTACTGGGGAAAAAAAACCCAACTGAAATCTTGTTGTGATTGTAGTTTTAAAAAAATACAAATACGGAATCAYGAGCTTGTGGCTGATTTGCTTTATTGTTTGGGAGTTTTTTTAAATCTGCTTTACCATCAGTGTATCTTGAAAAGATGCATCAGTTAAAATCACGGTTGCTGAAAGACAACTTTTAAAGTGCTGTCTGGCAGTGTAGTGCATGTTTTGCACAGCTTTTCTCTTTCTCTACCCAGAATAACTCCTTCAAGTGTGAGCACATAGTCAAAAGCCTGTTGAGAAGGGAAGCATGRGAGAGTGGAAGAGCTCTCTTATCCTGTGATCTCGTTCCTGAACRATGTAGTTGTATAATAGAGGAACATAAGTCTTGAAAGTCAGAATGAGATTTCTGAAGGCAGAACATTAAATTTTCTACAGGTTATATACCAATTTGCAGGGACATGCYGTTAGATTTCTCTTGGAACTGGGCAAAACTCCTGAGGTACAGCCTGGGGTAGGAATAGTGTACAGCAACTCTTCCAGCTTCACTGCCACCATCTCAGCCTCCACKGTAATTTTGCACATGGCCTATTATACTCAAGACTTTTTCCACTGCAACAGTAATACCTCTGTGAATTTTGTGGAAGAAGAATTATTGTCACAATTTGTGAATCTGCATCTTTGTAGCTACAGCTGCAGTTCTCTCTCTGATAGTTTTCTTCACAGTTAACACCATCTGGTTTGTTCTGCCATTCTTCATCAACTTTCAAAGTGTGTGTCCTTGGCCCCTCATTGTGATGGTAAAGAAAGGATGTCAGAGGCACTGCTGCATGAATATTTGATGGTGTTTCCTTGGATCTCAGTAATCCTAACTCACCAAACCTAACTAACTTGCCCAGTAACTAAATGTGAGAGATTTCTTTTACTCAGCTGTAAAGGATTGAGGGCTCCAAGCAAAGTGCATTGTGTGCACCTGCAGCTACTCTTTAAGGGCCCAGGTGTGCACTCCAGGCAGCTGAAAGAAGAGATTGTCCCTAAATTCCATGTGTAGGTAGTTCTGCCTTTCACAAAATTACTTTTCAATGGATGTTTRTACCTGTTCATTGCTCAAGTTTCTATAAACTCCTGATTATTTTGGTGGATATTACAGAGAGAAGCTTGCATTGTCACTTAAATGGAGCAGCAGCATTTCTGTGCCCAGGCTGTTCAAATCAGAGCATCTCACCGTCATGCCTGCACTGGTGGGTGTGTTCTGAGTGCATCCAGGAGCTGTGAACTSGGTACAACTTACTGAAAGTGAAGAAAACAAAGAATTTAAAGAAGAAAAGGTCCTTCTATAACTGCAGCTATCAYATAGCAGACTTGAAGGTATACAAAAAAAAATCCTTATTGACAAATGGTTGTTATTGACCTGCCTTGCTGTCCTGGTGATTAATAATATCCCTTCCAAGCCGGTACCCAGGGCAGACAAAGCACTCATTTAATATGACACAGTCACACGAAGTAATGAACCTTGTCTGAGAAAAGTCAAGAGTTAAACTCAGTTAACATTTCAAAGGCAGGATTCTTGGCCCTCTGCCACTGCTACAGCTTTCTGCCATAGCAACTCGTCTCCAGATAGCAATAGCGTGATTCACTAGTAGCAAGGGGTGATTGTTAAATTTGAATATTTGTGTTTGTAGATCGACGCTGAGYGGTGCATTTGCAATCTCGGTGATTTGTGTCCCTCTTATTGTGGTCTCCAAAYGCCTTTCTCGTTTGGTGGAACGCTGTGCAGAGGGCTGCTGGGCTCTTCATGCCTGTGATTAGATGTGTAATAGATTATTGATTGCTTTGTCTTGTAAGGTAGTAAATCAAGTCTTCTSTATTGAACTGTTTACAGAGTCTGTTGTTTACCTCTGTGCATTTGCAGCAGCTGGTTAAAACCAAGGCTCGAAGTCTGACRAAAATAATGTGTCAGTAATGTTCCATATAAGTGAAGAAAAACCTTTGTTCATCTTCACCCTTTTCTCAAACTGTAGTCTGGGATAGTTAAAAATTATTCACTTCTCCTACTGAGAAATGGAGGGAAAAAAGAGCTGGATAAAAACATAGAAGAAACAAAAACTACTTGGTGGCAAAAACTAGGGAGGTGCAAAATTGGTCACTCAGGGGTTTCTCAAAAGATAAAACTGTAATGATGCAGCGATCATGGACAAACCAAATCAGTAAATGGCMGAGAATAGGGACTGAAGAAACAAAAATTACAAAGAGACATAGCTGGTTCTTTATTTTAGTGGTGTTACAAGAACAGTAACCATTAAATACTATATTATTAACGGATTCTGTTATCTACCTGTAAATTGGGATTTAAAAAGCTGGAGGCTTTTTAATAAAAGCCCTCCAGTCGATAAAATCATTCTTTTCTGTGTGTGGCACGGGAGTGCACTCCTCAGCACTCAGGCGGACACTGACACACCACTGTCTGACGGCTGCAGAGTAATGCTCCTCAAAAGGTGCCGTGGGACCTGAGTGTGCCAACAACCTGCAGCCCCAGAAGCAGTGCAAAAGACTCTTCAKGGTGATGGGACCCTCTCGGCCTGGCTGCAGCTGCCACCCTGAAGTGCATCCCCTCCTGAGGGCTGTGAGCCTTCGTCTGCTTGGAGGGTGCGGGTGGGAGCAAACTCTGCCGTGGCTCCCACAGCTCCGTCTCCACAGCCCCTGGATCCCCGGGGGTTCAGGGAATGGGGCAGAATCTCACAGCAGCACACCCGCGGCAGTGCAGGGGTATGGCGGCAGCCAGGGCTCCCAAACCCAGCTTTTCCACAAACCACGGCAGTTCCAAGAGGAGACACGGAGGGAAAGACAGGTTCTGCCAGCCAGGGCTGCAGCAGCAAAAGATCTGACAGAAACTCGACTCGAGCTCCATCAAGTGTCCGCTCTGCCTCCTCAGCTGCGGACCAGAGTGACTTTTACTGTCCCCAGCTCCCTTTTGCAAGWGGGGACATTAAACATCGGGAGAGGAATCACAACCACAGATCAGGAGCAACAACAGCGTTCTCTCTTTTCGGAGCCTCTCCCAATTCTCCCCTCTCCTTTCCCCTCCTGACTACTTGTCACACTTGAGCGATTCTCGGGGATGACATCCTGCCCACAGGAGGCTTTTCACAAGCTCTTCATGGCTGRGAGAGACCTCACCGATTCCCAAACTGCCCCTTGAGTACATCCGCAGCCCTTGGTAGACGTGAGTTCCCTCTGTCTGCCCTTTGAGCTGTTTTGGACAGCTCTCYCTTCCCTGGTTTGGCTGCCATGAGCTGGCTCAGGTTTAAGTCCTTGAAAAGCATGCTCCTGGCCATTCGGGGACTCGCTTTCTGCCAGCGAGTGTGCGGGGAGCGCTCCCGTGAGCGAGCGGCTTGGCTGTCAGCTCTGAGGGYTGATGAATGCCTGGCAGCGCACCAGAGGCAGCTGCAGAGGAGCAGGAAGGGCACGGGGACCCCGYTCCCATCCCAGCTGCTGCTGGAAGGGGACACACGAGCAAACCTCAGGGAATGGGCACTGGGATACGGAGCAGATGCGGCGAGGCTGGAGCTCGCACCCCATTCCGTTGCCGTGGGACTGAAGGCTCTGATGCTGCACAGCCTGTGCTTTTCCTTTGATCCCTGCCCTCTGCAAGCAGACATCTTCCCCCCCTGCTAATTCCTTTGCCTGGAGGATGGGTTCTGCCACATTAGTCATCGCTCATGCTTCTCAGCTGCCAGCAACCCTTGACAGCAGCATCAGTAACAGCCTTAAAGAAAATTGCATCCACCCCGTTTCTTCTAAATTCTTATTTTTACCATATTTGCAGGCTCTGAGCAGTTGCTCCAGCTACCTTCCTRTTGGCAACTGGAAGCGTCTGGGTACAGACAGAGGAGGCATCAAGCATCTCTCACCAAATGGGGCTGAGTGCTCCCCTTCTAATATTTCTTTACCTGATGGTTCAATAACTTCACTTTCAGACACAAGACAGCTGAGGGCCCCCTACAGWCAAGTCGTTTCCATTTTCCACCTCTCCCATTTTAATGCCTTTAATGTCAGAGTGTTATTTATTGCAAAATTTGTGACAATTTCTCACAGCTTCATGGCAGTATCATTCCAAGAAAAACTTAAAAGAAATACCTCCTTTTCATGAGCTTTTACACTGTATATTAGCCACTTCTTCTCCTCTACAAGGCATTTCCTTCACCACAATTTTAAAATTTCAGAGCAGGTCTACTTCCCAAGACACCCCAGTGCCTCCTGTGGAGCAAGCATCCACACTCAGTATCATATTATCACAGCTTGATTTTGCACTTCAATACCAGCCAGAAATAACTCCAAAAACTGCCCAAGACTTCTAACCTTGTGAGAAAGCAGCTCACAGCCCGGGTCTTGGCATGACGGTGTGGTTTAGAAATCCTTCTTGGTAACAAGCAAATGCCAGAGGCTGGATTTCTCCCAGTTTCATTTTAACAAAGCCAAAGCAGCTTCTAAGCATCACCAGCAGGACACAGGGCCAGCACAGCTCCTGCAGGGATGTAGGAGATCATCAAGCAGCCTGGGCTGGGGGCTGTCCCCCACACTGCACCCCAGAGATGGATGCAACTTCTGGGTTTTAAAAACACGAAGTTAACGATGGTCCCCAACTGGCCAGGTGTTCCCCACAAAACAGCATTTCCTGCTGGTGAGTAGAAATCCTGGCAGTGATCCAGCTGTGGTTCATTAGAGGAAAACTTTGGGATAACTCCTTTGCTTTTGTATGCTCTGTTCTCTGCACGATGGCTGAGATGGGCACCAGCACCTGCCAGGGGAAGCCTCAGTGCCAATGATTATCTTTGGATGAATCCAAGGTGGAAAGCAGCAACTCAGTCCCTGTTCCCAGAGCAGAGGGAGCCCAGCTGTGGGAGCAGCCAAATATATCCAGACTTCCAGASATCTCCTGCAACTCACTCTTTGCAGATTTCTCTGACAGAGATCTCTGAGGTCACATGGAAAAGTTRCCACTCTAAATCCCACAAGGGCAAGGAGAAGGGCCCTCATGGCCATCACCCCGCATTCACAGTGCACAAATTCCT